TTCCCAACTCCCCCAGATCCCTCAGCGCTGGCTCAGCCCGACTCTTCAACCCCTCCAGGGATCCCGGGGACTCCCCCCTGCCCTGGGCAGCCCATTCCAACGCCCAACAGCCCCTTCTGCACAGAAATCCTTCCTCAGAGCCAGCCTGACCCTGCCCTGGGCAGCTTGAGGCCATTCCCTCAGGGCCTGGCGCTGGGGCCTTGGCTCCAGAGACTCATCCCCCCTCTCTGCCCCCTCCTGGCAGGGAGTTGCCGAGGGCCAGGAGGTCTCCCCTCAGCCTCCTCTTCTCCAGACTGAACCCCCCCAGTTCCCCCAGCCGCTCCCCAGCAGACCTGTGCTCCAGACCCTGCCCCAGCTCCATTGCCCTTCTCTGGCCACGCTCTGGAGTGAGGGCATTAGGTCCCTGTGGCCTTCGGTAAATCCCTTTTTCTATTTCAAAGTTACTCTGCAGTATCACAGTTTAGGAAAAGAGATACCACTCCCACCCCCCAAAAAAAAAAAATTATAAATGCTTTTTGTCATCAAGAAGGCACACATTTCTCTGATGCCCCCTGGCACATGTGGAAGTATAGGAGGTCCCTCTCCAGTCACCAGAGGAGTGGAAGGGGCAACATTCCATGTCATGTTACCTGCCCTTGAGATCCAAGATGAGCCTAGGGGGTTGCTGACTTCTACTGCCAGATCATGTCCAAGATCTGTTTGTACAACTGCCTCCATGGCTCCTCAATGCATGCTACAGGCTATGGGGAACTGTGGATGGGCTGGGACACCACTTCTGAGTTATACCAGTTTGGCTGCACGTGCACCAGCAACAAAAATGATTACTCGGCAAAAACTGTTATGGGGGACTGGAATGAAGAGCGATGCGATATCCAGAGAACTGTGCAGCCCAAGGCACTTCCTTCCCAGGTTATGTCTCTGGGTTTTTTCTTGTTGTGGATATAGCAAATCTCACTTGACATGATCACTGGTCACTTAATTTGTCATGCACTCAGGGCATTATCCTTTCCATCCCCAGCTATGAATCCATCAGAGGTAAACCTCCCGTGAGTACCTTCCCTTTCTGCAGCCCAGCTCCTTGCAGAAAGGCAACAATCAGCACCCTTTCCTCTGATGAGTGCCCTACAACAGGTTCACTACAGGAGTAAAGATGTGAAGAACGCTTTTTCATTTAAACTCACGTCTTACTCCTTGTAACAGTGGCCCCAGTCCAGCTCTCTTTCTTTTGCTGTTCAGATGGTGAATCAAAATAGTAATCACCAAAACTTTGTGATCTTAGGTTAGACTGATTTGAAAGTAGCAGTGCAATTGCAGATACTTTGGTCTGCCTGTAAGATATAAAATGTTAAAGTTTTTTTACTTATATTTAATCATGGTAAATGTGAGTTTTTCTTTTCAGTATACTCACTGCTTTGAAACAACATATTCTTCTGATTACAGCATGGGAAAGCATCAGAGAATAAAAAGTACCTGCACAGAACAGAAACATAGTAGTCTGTTGGATCTGTAGTGAGGCTACAGAGGAGCTTCTGAACAACATTTGTGCTTAGAGATGACAGAACTCTTTCTGTCATTTTCTCATTGTTGAGTTGTGCTCCTGTGCCACCACAGAACAGGTATTTCAAGTCATTCAGGGAGTGGTATTTGCATTTCAAGTGTTCTTGTCTAGCTCACCTCATCACATTTTCCCCAATGAGCTTTCACACAAAATTTGAGCCTAACAATCCCCTTGCTCTACAGAAAAGATTCCCCTCAGTGGCGCTTTCTGGATATATTCTTACTATTTTGCACTTCCTCAAGTTTTTTTGTGCTTATTCTTTTAGGATTTGAGAGAGAACCTACTGGTTTCCAGGCCACCACCCTGAGATGGAACCTCCTTCGTTCAACCCAGCAGCTCAGTCCTGCCACACAATAGACTCCGTATGGCAGCATTTTCTTTGCTTGTGTCCAACACTCAGAGAAGAAACACAAAGGATGCAGGAAAAGCAAGAGAGATGAAAAGAATGTGCAGGCTATGCCTTCAGAAAAACAGGAGGCCTGTCTGCTATCAGTGCTACAGGGATATCCTTCACGCAAAAAGACCTGTCACACGTTAAAGCCAAATGTAGCATCACGTGAAGATTTTTCTTCCTGCTTTCTAAGCTGTATTGTTTGTAACCTGTGCATATATCTGTCATTTGTTTTGTGTGCAGACGTGACTGCAAGTCACCAGTCACCCTGTGCCTTGTCAGCCAAGCCCAACCAACACCTTAACTGGAAGAGCTTATTAGAACCTAATAGGCTAATAGGAAACACTAGACCTTGACAATTAGGTGGGATTTGGGGTATTTGACAATGACCCCTCATCACTGAGTCCTCATTTTATTTTTCTCACTTAAAGCCATAGAAGAAGGATGTCCTGACAGTTCATTTGAGATTTAAACTAATCCCTTCTAATACAACTTTTGTCTTAGCAGGTAGAAGGAACATAGAAAGCAGATCACGTCATAACTGAGTCTGATGATCTGTGCAACAGATCTGCGGCATTCTGTCCTTTGTGGAGATGAATTTTAGAAATTCAATTCCAGTAATACAGACTTTCCTTTATGCTCATATCCCTTTGAAGAGAGGTGCTAAGCAGCTGATGACACCTGAGAAGTGTTTTGTACCACTCAACAATGTCAGCTTAAGTCGGATTAATGCTGTAGACGTCAGATCCTGTTCATTGTTTGAAGAGCACTGACAACTTAGTTTCAAAGTGACGTGATTTGTACCACAAGAGCAGGATGTTTTTCTCCTCTGGATATATCTGTGTTTACTGCAGCTATGCACTTCTCATCTGCAACTGCTCTGAACTGGTTGCCGCACTTGGATGCTTCTCCATAACGTGAGTCATTCTAAAGATTTAAGATACAGTTTTGTTCCATTCGGTTGTTATCTAATACCCACCGTTCAAATGGGTTTCGACTGTCATGAAGTTGTTTTACCAGTCTAATCTCCACTGGAGAAACTTTTCTGTTGCTTGTGAAACATTCTGAAATCCTCTGGCAACGTCGAAAGAAAAGGCTTAGGCAATTAAATGTTTGCAAAACATTAAGAGTACACCAAGTGAAGCTAGCAAAGTGTTTCTGAACACCAGGACAAGCTCTCCTGGACACACCTGCCACTCAAGCTGTAAGCAAGAATGATGCCAGGTGTGTTGCCCTGCACAGCAACCTTACACAGCTTTCTTGACCCAACACTTCCTGTGTCCTCAGTGCTCAAAACAAGAAAATACAAACTGCTTATTCATGTTTTATTTGTTAGCAAACTTACTCAGCATAAATAATAAGAGTAGCCATTCAGTATAGCTGGCATCTGATGAAAAGTGCTCTTGGACAGCCACCAGAGTGACTTTGGCCTACTTCCTTTGGGCTCCTGCAATGGCAGGCTTCTCTTCACGGGTGATGGGGATAGTGCGCTCGGGGACGTCACTTAGTTTCCTCGGTGCGCTCACAGTCAGGACACCATCCAGAGAGAGAGAGGAGGTTATGGTCAGAGGGTCCACGTCATCTGGAATCCTGTATTTCCTGTTGAACTCCCTGGCAATAAAGCCATGCTCATCCTTCAAAAGGAGAAGAGAAGGAACAGCCCTGATTAGAAATGTTCACTCAGTTCCACCTAAACCACAGGCCCTTTGCATAAAGCCTGAGACTGGGAAGCTCTAGCTCTCAAAGGAAAGCTTTTCAGAAAGTTAAGAGGTTTTATTATGAGACACCCTTTTCAAAGAGCCAAGACTGGCCAAAGTGAGTGCCCTGCCGAGGCTGCAGGTGCCTGCAAGTACACTGTTTATGGAAGGAGGCTTTATGTTCCAGCTTGTGCCAGGCAGAGGCTGGTTTATTGCACAGTGGTGTGCTATCATTCCTAAAATGCAGCAGCTAGACCTACACGCAGTGCCAACACACCCCTTCCTGAGGGTCTCCAGAGCTCCAGTAAGACACAGCTTTCAAATAGGCTGCTCTCTGCTAGAGTGCTTAGTTATTTTCTTAGCCAAAAAAATTTTGCAGAAGCTATGTCAGGATTAGAGGCTTCTACCAGCTACAAGTAATGCTGTTATTTCCTGACTGACAGTTCTGTGCTCCCAGAAACTCTCAGAGCTGACAATTTCAGTGACATAGCTACTTTGTCATGCATATTCATTTCCTTCTGGCAAGGAGGTAGGGGGGAGATGGGGACTGACAAACCCTGTTACATGCAGCTTCAGACTTAACTTTTGACTTCTGTCTGCCCGGTTGCCACAGAGGTCTCCAGAGCCGGAAAGCAGTGGGATGACTGACAGCAGAACACAAGTTTTAAGGATTACAAACTGACAGATGGGCCTTTTTCAGGAAGAGGTAGCCTCACGGTAACAGCACAGGGTAATGCATTGATTCATTATGAGGTTTAACTATTACAGTTTGTTGTTAGCTTATTGCATTGCCTCCCTGCATTCCTCACCTCTTCCCAGAAATGCCCATTTCAAAGATGATTTTCCAGTTCAGTTCACAGTTCATGTAATATCAGCAATAAATCTCCACCCTGTTGCTGCCCAGTCTGGGGTCAGCTGGGGGTGGGTTGCAGAGAGCATCTTCCATTAGGATTGGTTGGTACAAAACATTAGAAGCTTTTGAGGTGAGCACAGGAGAGGATTGTTTTGCAGTCTCCTTGTTTAACCATAGATGAGGAAGTTCACACTGACTTTATCAGTCGCACAGTTAAAGTAGAAGTACCTGGCGCTCCTCGTGTTTCCCATGAATTTCTATCATGTCTCCAAGCACCTTCACTTTTAGCTCCTCAGGGGAGAAATGCTTCACATCAAGATTTACAGAAAATTTGTCCTTCTCCAGTCGCATCTGAAAAACAAGGAAGTGACTTCAGAAAAGAGCAAGTGAGGGTTTCAGCTTGAAAAGGCTCTTAGAATACAGCAGTTCTGGACTCCAGCTAGTACCTACACATGCCCTCTCTGACCTTCATTCCATCCTGGGATACTGATCTTTGGGCTTTGTCCCTTGCTGGCCTGTCACACTAATGGCCGTCACTACAGTACCCAAAGTGTGAGTGCTTTCTCTTGATCACATGGGATAACTGTTTTGCTTGGGAGTGAGGAAGAGATTTTCTTAATCTGAATTTGGTAAAACTGTCTCTTTAGTTGGCATACAGGTTTCACATCCAGTTCTTTTCACAGAATGTCTGGAGGTTTCCAGTTTCTGTGACTGGATTTTGCAAAGTCTTTCAAGCAAAAGAAACCCTGATTGTGGAGCTGACTGAAGCTCATCTGCAGGCTCCCTCCTGCATCCTCACTCTTTGGTAACCAAAAGAATGTGTCACTGGTGAGCAGCACTGCCTCACTGCTCACCTCTGTTACCTGAGCAGCAGGACTTCTGCCAAAACTGAGTCACCTGCTGCAAACCTCACCTCCTTCCCTTCCATTTTGCACTATATCACCTCTAACAAATACTGCTTTTTACTTCTTGAGGTTGAATTTGCATTTTCAGCCTGTCTTGGACACGTTTGTGGGACTTTGCTATATGAACTGGCTGTCCCTTCCTGCTGCATTTGCGGTGAGGGAGCATGCGAGCCTCCTGGAGCTCTGCTCTGGGATGTGCCAGCTCTATGCTTTCCACAGCTTGACCCAGAGTCTAAGTGATTCCTTCTCCTTCTGGATTATTTGTGAAGATGTCTCCACTGAGATAGTCAGACGTTGTTAACTGTGGTGCTTATTATGGCTGCTTCAGTGGACAGGCAGACTCAGGTCACTAAATCAAGGGAAACATTATGCAACGATTAAAAAAAACCCCTCCTTTGGCTTAGAATAGCTCTAAAAGTTACTTGTAAATAAGGCAGCTGACTCACAGAACAGGCAAGGTTGTTGGAAATACATGCCTCGACTCAGCCCCAGCAAGCAGACTGCTGCTTCGTGATCCTTTGGGTCCTGTATGTGCTGCCCTTCGCAGCAGTGCTTCTTTAAAATAGGCCCCTTTTTTTCTCAGCAACCATGAGGTCCCACGCTGCCTGACATGAGGATCCCACCCCCCCTGTGGTGTTTGCTTCTCAGGAGGGAGTGGGATTGAAAGTTCTGCACAGCAGACAGGGAAATTAAGCTTCCTTCTTTCTTCCATCAGTGCTTACAGACATTTGCCACACACACTCAGCTCCTGTTTGCCTCTGTTCCCAACACTATGGCAACGCTTGCTCTCAATCACAAATGATGAGCAAAGCATGGAGAGGTTCTTGCCTAATGCAGAGAAGCAGAGGCACAAACACAGCAGCACCCTTTTCCCCAGCTTTTTCCTAATAACCACCTACAAGCAGCTTCCAAGCTCTCAGCTCTCACGGGTCTCCAGCTCCAGGCCCACCAGGATGTGCCCACAGCAGTAACAATTAAGAAGGGAAGATTACCTCAGAGAGTCCTGTCTCGAGCCAACTGGGCATCCGAAGAATGGGGGATCTCATCAGGAAGGGACTCAGGCTGGGGGAAGCAGGGAGCAGCTCTGACTCCTGCAGGTGTTCTCCGAAAATCTGGTCAAAGATACGACTCGGTGCCAACCAAGATAACAGGGGTCTGCGGATCAGGGGGTTGTGAATGGTGATATCCATTGGGGTGCGCCGGGGGAGCCTGGCCAACAACTGTGCTGCAGTGCTGTGCCACCAGGGCAGGCCAGCTTTATACCCGTACAGCCGGCCTGGCCTTCCCCCCCCGCGAGGCCTCTTGAACAGTGGTGTCAGGGATTTTATTGTCCCACTCCTGGGCTGGTCCCTTCAGCAGTGCCCAGTCACTGTCTGGGGGATTTGAACACGCTGCTGAGGAGGAGGGGGGAAGGGGAGAAGAAGAAAAGGAGCCTAATGGGGCAGCAAGAAGCCAAACTGCCTAACCGCCCGCCCTGCGCCCCACGTGCTGTTTATCTACAGAGTCCCAGGCAGGCTTGGCGGAGGTTCCAGCTGCTCTGGATGCCAGCAGGATCAATGCAGCTCCTATCTTTGGCTCACAGGGAAAACGACAAGGGGCCATTGTTCCCACTGCCAGCGCTGAGATCGCAGCTCCCCACATCACCCACCAGCCTGGGAAGAGCTCTGCCTCTCCTTAAGGCAAAGAAAGCCCCAGGCCTGCTTTAGTCAGAGGTCAGGAAAGATCCCTGGAGGCCTTTGCTGAGACACCTCTGGCAGCGTGGCTCTCGGCAGCACAGAACACCTCCCTGCCTTCGTGCTGACCTTTGTGTGCGTGTGAATGCAGGACGGCTTGCCCCACAGCGCTTCAGCCCAGCACCTCTCGTTTTTTGCCCACTACAGAAACCACTTTGCTGGAGAGAGAAGACCCTAAAGCTTTGTGACCTCAGGGTATCTAGAGGGCTGTAAGCAGAGGCCAACCAGGCGTGCCAGCGGCCACCACGGTGCTGCACCATGACGTGCCTTCTCAGGGATGTAACTACCTCTATCTACTTGTGCCCCTGCAGTAAACTGATTTACTGTAATTATGCTCCTAATACATCTTAATTCACGCATTTATTTTAATTCCTGCCTCGCCTGTGAACCTAAATCATGAGAATGGGTTCAGCCTGTTCTTAAAGGGCAAGAGCTAGTCTCTGCCTCAGAGAGCTTGCAACTTAAGTACAATTACTGGCTCAGAGGCACATCATTCTTATTGCTGGCACTACCAGTCCTTTGCAAAAGGGTCTAACCCTCTTCCTCTCAGCTTGCCTGCAAGAATAGGGAGCAGAATTTGCTCAGTGAAACAGCTCATGCCATAAATACCTTCTCCAATTCCCCATTACATCATCAGCAATGCACCTGCTCTCATACAGCAGGGACATGGACTCAAGGAAATCTCTGGTTTCAGAGTACAAGGAGTTTAACTGGGCACTACTCCTCCACTACACACACACACACACACACACACACACACACACACACACACACACACACACACACACACACACACCAGGTCAATAAAACCGTATCTATGCCAGATTTAGATCCTTGGTGAATTTGTGATCTCTGTCACAAGCATTTCCCTGTGTCTCACAACATTGTGCCGAAGCCCTGGCCAGTGAACAGCCAGCTTGCAGCAGCGTGGTTCAGGCTGTGGAGGTGTCAGCAGTGGGATCTGATCCTGCCTAGCCCTGCTTAACTACTTGCAGCACTTCACCAAAAGGCTTGAGCTGTCTTCTCAGCTTCTGGGGAAATCAAGCTCCTTTGTGTAGGGCACAGGAGGGACGGATTTGGGCCCCAAGCTCACAGTGGGGTGATGGATGTGATGATGGCTTCACAGGACTTTGCACAACCTGATCAAGCACCCGCCACCATTAGCTATTGCCCTGTCCCCACGGCGTGCTTCAGGGCCAGCAGGACCAGTGTCAAGGACTCCTTGAACCTGCTTACTGTGACCCGTCTTGCTGGTCCTTGCCTTTGGGAGCACCACAGGCAGCAGAGCCTGGGGTCTGTCCTGCATTTTCCTACTTCAGACTCCCTCGACTCACCTCTGTGCCTCCCTGCTGTACTTGGCTGTCCATATGCCTCCTGCACCCCCTGCACCCCCTGCTCGGGGAGGGGAGCTCAGAGCCTGGAAGGAGCTGTGGGATTTTCCCGAGGCATCCCTGACTGCAGGCAGTGCCTGCACTCCCTGCTGGAATGCAGCGAGAAGCTTCCGTCATCACCCTGGCGAGGCATCCTGGGGCCTGTGCGTGTGGCTATTTTGGTCCATCTTTTTATCACACACTCCTCCCTGTGGAATTCACCCAATTAAAACCTTGCAATCTGCAGCCTTCACTCTCAGAGGCAGTGAGGGCTTGGAAAGTCCCCTTCCCAGACACACCATGGCTGCACGGACTGTCCCCCACGCCTACCCCATGAGTTCGGAGTATGAGTTTGCCAACCCTAGCAAGATCTACGACCAGAACTTTGGAGAAGGTAAGAAAGGAGATGGGATTCCCCCCCAGCACCTTTCTCTCCTCTGGTGCAGAAGGGCTGGTGGGGTCCCCCTGGGGAGACTGAGCTCCAGAGCAGGCTAGGGAAGCTGGAGCCAAGGAATTTTGAGCATAAAACCCCAGGTCAAATCAGGGGGGAATATCCAGGGAATAGCCAGGGTCTCTCTCTTCAGGTTGACTTCCTCCATCCATGCCTACTGCTGTTTCTTCTGTCCCTCCCTCATGCCCCCAGTGGTCTGGCATTCATGCATATGCTGTGCAAACATGGAGCAAAATGCTCCAGGGGGGTAGTTTTTGTAGCCGGGGGCTGTGAAGAAAAGCTGAGCTGGGATGTTCAGCACAAAGCCGGGCAGTGGCTGGCAGAGGGGAAGGAATGTGGGCAGCAGCAGAACCATTCAGCACCAGCACAACAGCGTGAAAAGGCAAAAAGCTCCAAGGAAAGCCCCCTGGACAATGGCACACAAAAGGCCTTTAGTTCTTCAGGGCAGTTTCTTCACCGTCAGCATTTTCCATGCCCATCCCTGGCTGTGGGCTTTGCAGAGTGCCCAGTGCACCTACCGGTGCCTCCCTGTCCACCCAGCAGACATGCAAAAGCTGGATGCCAGCCCTTGGCTCTGTGGTGGGAGGCAGTGGCTGGCAGGCATCTGGCTCTGTGCATGTTTTAGAGACACAAAAGTAGGAACCACAAGAGACTCCATCCATATTGTGCTGATGTGGTGGCAAAACCAAGATGTTTGCCAGGTCTGAGCTTCCTCCTGTCACCCTCCCCTATCTGCTGCCAACCATCCTTGTCCAATCCTTTCCCTGGAAACCCCACGCTCCTCACTGAGTCTCATTTACAGGTGTGTCCCCGTGTGAGATCTTAGCCCCTGTCCTGTACCATGGCTACTACATCAGGCCTCGGATCAATAAGCAGCTGGATCGAGGCACCTCTGAGATCAGCCTCAACGACCACAAATTCCAGGTGTTCTTGGATGTCTGTCACTTCCTGCCAGATGAGCTCACTGTCCGCACCGTAGACAACCTGCTGGAGGTGATGGGGCAGCACCCACAGAAGGCTGACCGCCATGGCTTCATCTCCCGAGAGTTCACCAGGACCTACATCCTCCCTCTGGATGTTGACCCCTTGCTGGTGAGAGCCACGTTGTCCCACGATGGAATCTTAAGCATTGTGGCTCCCCGGACAGGGAAGGAGGTGAAAGCCAGAGTCAACGAGGTGAAGATAACCCAAGAGGAGCAGCCAGTGGGGAAAGAACAGTCTGAAGAAGGAAAAGGGAAGGAAGAGTTCTAAAGGCCCCACATCTGGGCTTACAGAGGGAAGGTGGGGGAGGACAGGGAAGGGGAATCCACAGTACCAGACCCCTATTTCTCACCATCAGTGTTTAGCAGCCACTGATATGCCAGAATTCTGCTTCTTCAAGCTGATGGCTGGAAAAAGGGACTCGGGACTGAAAAAAGAGGGAGACTGAAGTGTTAGTGTGAGGGACTGTAATGCGTTTTCTCCAGGTCAAGGGCTCAATGAGCACAAGGTAGGGTGCTCTTCTCTCACCCCAAATGGCAAGGGCTGCTCTTACCCTGAACTGTGAGGCTGCGTCACAGTGGGCAGCTGCTGTGCTCTAGTCCAGAAGGGCACTGGAAAGAGGGAAGAAATCACCCCAGTACCTCGCTTCTGAGCTGACCTTTATGACCATAAAAGGTGCTTGTTGGTCTGTAAAAGTGCCTGCAGCTCTCAGGAGGAAAGGGGAATAAATCTGCCACTGATTTTCTCTTGTTTGCCTTGGATTCATGTTGCTTCTGGCCAAGCTACTCTGTAGCAGGAAGGATGGACAGTGGCTTGGCTGCTCCAGATGTGCAGGGCAGAGCCGCGGAGAGTTCGCACTGAGCTCACCTGGGGAAGTAGCATCAGTAGGGACTTGGAGGGACTCTGGCCATGGGGCAGCCAGGGGGACCTCTGGGACTGGCCCTCCTGGCTCAGGTGCCCCTGGAGTTGCTTGCCCACAGTGGGCAGTAGCCTTGCGGAGAAAAGACGTAGAGAGATGGGCTCTTGGAGGCTCACTGTGCATTTCCAAACTGGCACCTAGAGGTAGCCCAAGTAAACAAACGCCAATCCACAGCCTCTGTTTGCTTCAGCCCACTAGTTTATGGGGCATAAGTCTTGTTCACCCACAGACCTTCTTCGTCCTTGTGAGGGAAATGAACCCCAAAATGCTGAAGGGAAAGGCTCTGCTCAGATCCCAGGTGCCTTGCTGACTTCCCAGCCTCTCTTCAGAGTCACAGAGGGGATGGATTTGGCCCCTTTTGCAGACACCATGATGCTACCAGCTACATGAGAAATGTCTCTGTAGTCTTTGTGGTGTTGGGCCAGGGATCATGTGTGCTGCTGTCAGTGACAGCTGCTGCCTTAGATGGCCCTGAGGGCTCAGCAGGTGCCAGCTGCAATCCTTGTCTTGTCAGAGCCAATTAAAGCAGCCAAAATGCTGTGTCACCGGCCAAATATGGGGGTCCCTGGCATGCCTCAGTGCAGCCCTCCCACAGAGGAGAAAGAGAGAGGGGGTTCCAAGTCCCTGTGGACAGAACTTCTCCCTCTCCCTGCTGGGATGTGACCTGCTGGCTTCTGCTCTCTGCCTCCGTGAATACACAGGGCCAGGTCTGCCCTGCTCAGGAGTCTGTTCCATGCCTTGTGCCTCCTCGATTGCTGAAACACTGGTGTAATGCTGGTCTTGCACCAGTGGGATCCAGACCAGAGTGAACCACTGTGCAGCTATTTTCTATTTCTCAGGGCCCCTGCCAGCAGCGAGGATCAGTGCAGGTCATGGCACTTGCTAGAGCATGAAATGCCCCCCGACAGCAACACAAGGGCTGTGGGTTGCTGAACCACTGCGGACTGAAAACAGCATGTGGCCAGGGCTGGGGCTGCACGGATAGTGGATTCTAAAACAAAAGTGCCCAAAACAGTTCAGAGCTCGCTCTCCTTCATTTTTTAAAGGCACTGCCAGGTTGCTGTGTGCCTGCACCAACACCTATCACAGCGTGGTCCCAGTCCCTCAGCATTAGTAGTCATTACACAGCTCTGGGTTTCATTAGCCCTGTCTTTGCTCTCCAACGAGTTCATTCTCTATCGCTGGGCACTTCCAGGCTCATTCTGTGCCAGTTGCGCAGCTTGTTACCCAGATGACATCCCTGAGTGCATCAAGACAGCTGCCCCAAGCAGTGATGCAGTGAGAGGGGGCTGGCACTGCCTGGTGTTAGCCCCTGGGCTGTTTGTCAGCACCCTGGCAGGCTTTGCACAAAATAGCCTGATCGCCTTGCTGAGCAGGAGCCTGGAAGCCATGCTTTCTTTCATCCCTGCAGACACAGCCTGAGGAGAGAATGCAGAGTGGCAGCCAAATGTTCTCCAGCTCTGCCAATGTTTTTGATGCCTTTCTGTTTCTCTGGTGGAGCTCAAACCAACAGTTCCAGTATTTGTGAAAGGAGCTGATGGGAACAGGCTCCCATCCTTTTTTTTGTTCTTTTTTTTCCTCCTCCACAAAGCAACAAAGCCCAAGTTATCCCAGAAATCAAAACAGACACTGGCTTACTAAATCAACAGTGTCTGTGGCAAAGCCAGAGACACACAGTCTGCAACTTCCCAAGCAGGGACAGACTCCTGCCACCACCCAGTCTTTGTAGGACTCTGAGAACATGGTCCTGTTGGGACCAGGACTAAATTTCATCTGCCTGCATACATCTGATCCTAAATTCTCCCTGGGTTGCTGTGGTGCAGGCTGAGCTGTGCAATTTCTCCAGCCACATGCTGAGGTGGGATTTCGGAGCAAGGCTCAGGCTCTGCAGGTCACGGTGCAGCTCATCCAGGATTGAGCTAAGAGAGCAGCTGTGCCCCATGGTCTTTCCAAAGCAGAACCCTTCTCCTGCCACTTCTGGACACTTTGCGTTTGCTCTGCACTTGTACAGATGATAAATGATGCTGTCAGCCTGGCTGAGAGCAGCGGTAGGGGGAGTAGGGGAGGAGGGCCGATTCCTGAGATAGCCCGTCAGAAGGGTGAATTAAAACTTACCCACTTCTCAGCACATCCCGTGAGGGATTCGGGCCTGCACAGAACTGGGGCTGGCTGCCAAATCAAAGCCGCGAGGCAGTTTCTGCTCAAGGACTACATTAACATGGTATCTTTCAGTATTAAGATGCAGCTCTCTCGGAGCTGCCAGAGATCAGCTATCTGTCGTTCAGTGCAGAAGTTAATTAGCTCTCAACCGAAGTAGAGAGGTAAAATGCACATTAATTTTCCTGTTTCATATGCTGAGGGGTGAGCCTAAGAGCTGTATTGCAGGTCCTTAATGATGCGAGGTCCCTCGTGGGATTCTGTAATTCTGAAAAGCACAAATCTGTACACTTTCATCTAGGTAGCTTTACAAAAAATTGGTTCCCAGTAGTGTCCCTTCTGCCTGCAGCAGAAGCAGCAGCTCTACAGCTCAGCTGAGAGTAGACCTGCAAGCCTGCTCTCACCTTCGCTGGGGCATCACCGCCCTCCCAAGAAGATGATGCCAGCCCGTGCCACACATTTTCTGACATGCTGCTCGAGGTACAATGAGGAACAGCAGGAACAGCACTGAGAGCTCCCACCCTGGGGTTTCTCCTTTTGTTCAGGAAAGTCCCTCCTCCATCCTCTTTTGCATCACTGCTGGCATCAGCAGGATGGCGTTGATGGGAGAGAGGGATAACGGAGGGACATCCACTGTACAAATCGTACGGCAGGATTTTAGCCCCACGGCTGAGGCCTGGAGGCAATCTGCTGCCTTGCCCTCTCCTCCCTGGGTAGCAAGAGGTGAGCACTAGCCCTGGGGCACGGGTTGCCCAGGGCCAGCCCTCCAGTAGATGGCACGCACGGGCCTCGCAGAGCCTCACTGCAGCGATGGAGAGAAATCTGACACTGCCAGACACTCCCTTGGAATAGCCAGGGCCCGAGCAGGAACCAGGAAACACAAGCTCTCCCTGTCCAGAAAACACTTCTGCTTCATGGAGGAAGGAGCGACATGGGCAACCTCTGCAGCTGCGGGCGACCGTGGTGAGTACATTGCCCGGCAGGCGCGAGGGTGGCAGAGCCGCCCCGGGCAGCCTGAGCGGGGCTTTGGGTGGCCTTTGGTCCCTTGTGCCGGGTTTGCCTGGGCTCTTGCCTGGCCCTCAGCCCCGCACCTTGCCAGTCACACAGCGGCACCGGGTCACTGCTGTGCAGGGACGGGGGCTGGGACAGCCCCTGCCTGCCCAGGGGCACGACGGGGCAGGCGAAGGGGCTTTGTCACATCGCTCAGCGCAGACGCACTGTGCCACCTCCTGGAACTGGCAGCTTGGGTTCCCACAGCCATGCCAGCAGCTGAGAATAGCTCGGTCCTAGGAAGGATCTAGTTAAAATCCCTCGCCTTGTCCCAGTGGTCCCCAGCCAGGTACACACCTCAAGGTGCTCCTTTTGGCTGCTGCAGGGAGGGGCCCCTGGGGCAGGGCTGGCACCAGGGGCTCGTGGCTCAGCCACCTCATCCTGCTCTCGAGTCCCCCAGCCCCTCTCCCTGCCTCTGTCTGGGCTTTATTTGCGCTTGGGAAATCCTGGCCACGTTTTTCAGATGATGTTGCTCTTTCTCCCAGAGGAGGAGGATGACAGTTTAACTCCTCCCGGTTCACGCTGTGCCCTGGAGCTCCTGCTTACAGAAAAAGGGCACAGTGGAGCATCATCCCGTGCCAAGAGGAAATAATTTCAGCTCTGAGCGTGGTACAGGGGGGAGAGCCATAACTATCGGATGAAGCTCCGAGGACGTTCTCTCCGACACTGCATTGTTAAAAGTTTTAGAAGTTCATCAGCGGTTTTTAATAATGACGAGAGGCACAGCATCACCTAGTGGCTGAAGCAGACGAAGAGGTTCAGGACACGGAGGTTCTTCCAACCCAGGTCCTGAGCTGGAGGGCAGAGAACTTTGGGATGTAGGAACAGGAGCTGTAGGTGGGAGAAGGCTGGTTGTTGACATGTCCCCCACCAAAAGTCCCATTTTCTACTTCCTCTACCCTGTGGCAGCGGGTAAATGAGGCACCCAGGGCATCAGCGTCATTACCTCGCGGCCAGGGGCCTGCTCGGGGAACGCTGGGGCACAGGCTGGTTCACTGGAGCAGAGCTGCAGTTGCCAGGCACACACACCACAGATGCTGTGTGGTGGGGGGAGCCGTGCCACAGCACGGCCTGGCAAAGCCAGAGACTCTGGAGTACAAACACCACCGTTACAGCTTATGCTGTGGTGGCACTTTCACCTCCAGACGGTGCCAGGCCGTGCACAAACATTTCTGCCTTCAAAAGGAAGTATAAACCAGAATCTGAAGGTCACTCAAGTGTGCAGGACCAGGCAGGACAGCCGCTTTCTGTTCCACCTGGGGAGCAGCATGGTGGCAGACTGGCTTCTCTGGGCCAGTATCTAATTCTGCTACCCCAAAGCTACTGGACCAGGACTCCAGTGTCCCACTTGATTTTTTTTCCAGAGGCTGCATGGAAAATAAGAAGCTGGGATGGTATTTGTGTTGGTGGTGTCACTACTGCCTGCTGTCAGATTCCTGCAGCAGGGGACAAAGCTCTGGCCAAAGACCCGTTTGACCCCAGCACCCCTGTGTGACTTAAGTGCTGACATCTGCCTTATAGACTGTGCAGCGAGGAGAAAGCAGAGCTCTCTCCCCAGGAGGACCATTCCCTTTCCTGCACATGGAGACACATGGGTGAGGAATGGCCTCAGGCTCCCAGGCTGCCCTGGTGCTGTGCGGGCTCTTCAGACAGGCTCTGAGCAAGGAGAGAGGAAGGCAAAGGGGAATGTGCTGCTGGTAACACGGGCTTGGCAGACAGCTACACAGGACCACAGTCAAGAGCAGACTGGTGCACTGAAGCGCCACTGCAGAAGTTTTCATGATTCATAGCTTTGCCTTGGTGACAGAGGGGAAAAAAATGGTACTTAATTTTAGTTCAGGTGTTTCCAGGCACCTATACGGCTTTTATTTCTGTATATTTTCTCAGCACCACAGCTGTGTCAGCAAAGATCTGGGCCTAAGCAAATCTGAGATTTGCAGAAGGGTTTAGAGGAGGTAGGCACTCACCTTCTCCTGGACAGAAGATCCTTGTCATGATCACTACCAAAGCATGGGCCCTAAGGGAGACAGAACAAAGAGCACGAGACTGAGGAGATTCCCAAAGTCTTTAAAGAAAAGACATTACAGCAAATTTATTCACAGAAGAAAGTTACTGATGAAGGAAAGTGTGCCCTCAGGTGTGGGTACCTCTGCCAGTATGGCCCTGTGGAGGGCAGGCCCCAGGTATTCTCACTACTCGGGGCCTCTGCTGGGCATTGACAGCAAAAGATGGCAAAATTCAGGACCCACCGTGAAGCAGGCTTGTGTGGGGTAGAAATCGGGTTGGCAGTGACACGGAGAAAGGGGAGGAAGCGGTATAGGAGCAGGGACATGCGTGCTGCCATGTAGAATACAATGCGCTTCTAGCAGGCTCTGAGTTAGTTACAACACGTCTGACCTGGTTTTGAGAAGAGGGGAGAGGTTTGCCCTGCTCTTGTTTCCCTTGCCACATCCATTCTAATTACTGCATATCTGAGGATGGGAGATGCCAGCTCCTGCCTGGCTGTGATTAGCCTGCAGACAGCCTCAGAATAGCTCCAGCCTACACACTGGCTGCTAATGCTCTCTCTACAAAGGAAGGCAACCAAAACAAGCAAGAGCAGCTTGGAAAGCTGATACTGCAACCTACCTCCCAGGAGAGAGGGTAGGGACCCTGCTGATTTTGCTTCAAATGGTGCTGTTTTAATTACCTTGCACAATGTGCCTGGATGCTGTAAGGAAGCAAAATGCTCTAGCACACAAGCCTTGGCAAGGAGGGTTATGGAGAGCCCACAAGCTCAGAGAGACGGTGGCAGAGGAAGCTGCAAGAGCTGAGTGAGAACCACCACAAGGCAACACAATGCTGCCTTGAGCTGTGCCCCTAAGTCCTGGGGGCAGCCCCCCCCCGATTTTGTCTGTCGAGGACTGGAGGGTCGTAGGTGCCTCTGCGGGGCCGCACACAGCGGAGCCACGAGAAGCAGTGTGAGATCCTTTTGCACAGGCATAGGGCCACCCTGCCTTCCCCCAAACTGCCTTTGACTTCCCAGGTCTAGCAAGTCTGGTTAATCATTATGGACCATTTTGAAGGTCTCCCATGTTCTTTCCCGCATTCATGCTTTTTTTTTTTGTTTTGCCATTAGAGTGCCAAAGGCATTACTACACACACTGTCCTGCTCACCCACCCAGTGAAACTGCCTCTAAAAGCCAGCAAAAGCAAAGCTCCGCTTCGGGCACTGCAGCGTTCCTGCCTGTGGCAGGACTGCCTGGCAAATGCACGCTGTGTGGGAACGGTGTGGTAACGCTGTAGCCCCGTTAAAAGCCCAAGTTGCCCACTCTCAGCGGCTGGTGACCCACGGGAGACCCTCAGCTGCACGCGGAGTTGGCCGGCAGGCAGCACCCGCGGGAGATGCCCAGGCAGGAGGAGCCGTACAGGGCCTGGTACCTGCTCCCCTCCAGCCCTCTGAGTGTGATGCAGGGAAAACATTTCCTCCACGCATCTGGCCCAGAATGTGACACATCTCTGCTCTGCCAGACAGCCTGCGCTCCTGTGCCAGCACCAGCCTGCAGGAGCCTGCTCAGCTTCTGGCTCTGTTGTTACAGCTGGAATGAATTTGGCTCCTGTTCATTCCATGGCTGGGACGTAGCTGTGTTTGGCTTGTCTCTTTCTGGTCACACAGGTACAGCCGAGATTAGGGTTTGGCTTGGCTTACATTTAGTGCATAGCTTGTTTGGTTTGGTTGTGTTTTAAGTGGAAAAACTGAGAACAGGAAAACTGTCTGAAACATTAAATTAGCACAAGGTCTGTGCACAGCTGCTCCTTGGGCAGAGGGGTCAAAGTGCAGGGTATGGGGCTATCAGAGCTTCTGGACCTAAGAGAAGGGATCATGCCAACGGAGATCATGCTCTGCACCCTGCATCTTTGAGCATACAGCTGAGGAAATGTAGTTGCAAAACTAAAGTGGAATCTGCTCTCATTCACTCTGATGCATATTGGACAGCCAGGCAGGGCTGAAAGGCAAGGAGACTTGGGGGTGTCTGTGGAGTATAGTAGTGTGTCACAGAAGGAGGAAACACATCCCCACATCTCCCCTTTGGACATCCTCCCTGCAGGATTTATTCGGGTTCTGGCTTGTCTCAATACCTCTTCTCTGAGACACTTGGACCTTTCTCATTACCCACAGACGTGGTGCTCTGGGGTGGTGCCTTTGGGTTTGGGTGTTATAAGAGCAGAGACTGGGGCTTCTCAGGGCTGATATCTCTTTCTGATTTCAGGAAGTGTCCTTCACCTTTTAAAAGAAAGAAGGAAAAGCAAGGTAAGGATTTGTGAAAATGCTTTAGAGGCTAAGAGGAGGTGGAGTGACTGAGCCCCTGGTTAGCTGACATTAGGGCTGACTGTGAACCGGATCCCTGAGGCTGAGGTCCCCTCCCCGTACTCTTTTGTACCTAACCTCCCTCAAGAGAAGGGTGGTAGAAGCAAGAGGCAAGATTTCTTTAAAACTTAAAGCAAGGGCTGTGATGTGCCATGGGGTTTGGCAAGAGGGAGGGAAGGGACTTTAAAATACCCGAGTCTCACATGAAAACACATGTGAGTACTCTAAAGCAGCAGTACAGCAGAAGCTGCATCAAACTCCTGTAAGAGCTGCAAACATCCATCTGACATCAGTCCCCCAGGATAAAGGGCATTCCCTAAGTAGCCCAGTTGTGGACTTTGGACCATGCTGGGCAAAATATGTTTGCCAGGCAGCAAAGGAAATAACAAAGTTAAAACGGGATCTGACTTCTCCAAGAGCCTGACAAAGAAGCTCTCTGTCTGTCCTCCTAGGTTCTGCCAAGAACATTGCGGTCCATAGCATGTTGTCATCCCTGGAAACCTTATTTTTTTCCAAAGAAACAAGCCCAGGCTTTCTTCTTGGAGGTGGGCCTCAGAGACAGCATTAGGGGTTGAGGGTGTCAGATGAAGTGGAAATTTGATTTGTGTCCAGTGGGGAGAGCCCATGGGCCAGACAGACACTGCATTTCTGCATTCAAAAGTGGAACAATAAACAGTTGTATTAACCTGATCTGCTGATGTTTCCTTTTCAGGAACTAATGTGAGACATGAGAGCCAACAGCATCAGCCTGGCAGGAAGGTAAACAGCTTCCCAGAGTTGTTTTCCTAACTGTATATTGAGAGCTGACCACCGCTTCCTAGGCTAGATGGGTTGGGAGGACATGGGGCAGCTTATTCAGAGCCATGAATTGTCTCATCTTATATAACCTTTAATGGCTGTGGGAACAATGTGCGTTGCTGCACAGAGATGCAAGCCCATTTTTTTCCTCTAAAGTGCAGTGGAAGCAGTAGGATGAAATCCTTCTCTGCACCTGAGGTGTCAGAGGGTTGGATTGTGCTGGGGTCAGTGTGGAGGGTGTCTCTGCCTGCTCTGGGGAAGGCACGTGTAGCAGCAGCCCAGGGATCTGACCTTCCAGAGCTCTTTCTCCCCAAAGGCTCCAACGTATGAAGATGTCCCAGAGTTTCCTGTCTACGCCACCGTGAGTAAACCCAAGAGTGTGAAGCAGGATGACAGCATTCACTACGCAGACATCCAGGTGTTCACCAAGGTCCGGGAGCGCTCTGCAGCAGAGGTGAAGAACTTACAAATGCAGAATGCCACAGAGTATGCCACCCTCAACTTTCCCCGGCCCAGGCTGAAATATGACAGTAAGAATGGGACCCTGGTATAAACGGCTTGTTGGCCCCCTTCTCTTTCAGCAGAAAAAGTATTTTACAGACTTAGAGATGCTGTAGATGCAAACTAACCTCATGAACACGTGAAGTCTCCCTGAGAAAGTGCAGAGAGGCTGTGCCTTCCACCTGCATTTCTCATCAGAGGACACAGAAATATTTATTCTCACGTGATGAGTAGTTTCCTATCTGATTCTGCTGACAAAAAACACCTCTTCCCCTTGGATGAGTTGCCACTGAAGCTGGCAACCCATCTCCTCTCAGCACTGTGAGAAGACAGAGCTGCTCCTTGGCCGATGAAGGCTAAAACCACAGCTCAGAGCTGCAGTGAGAAAGTTCCTGCTGTGGCAGAGGACCAGCTGAGTGCTGCTCTGCAGATTTGGGGACGTGGCACACAGGATTCAATACCAGGACAAGAGAGATGTTCCCACAGGATTTTATGTCAATGTTAAGAAAATTCTGCAATGTACAGAATGACACATGGAGGATACCAGGAAGAAACGGCATGCAACCTTTAATATTATCTACTGCAGTGTCTTCCTCCATCACCTGCCACTGTAACTGCAGTCATGCACTATGTGCATCCCCCTTTCTCAAAAGGCAGTGTTCTATAACCATGCACAGCACACTAAAACCAAGGCCAGAAATGCAGAATTAACTGAGGAGTACAGAAGAAGTTCTTTCACCGAAGGGCTGTACAGATATGCATCTTTACTCCAACATGCACAGAACTGAGTAGTGAGCTCTTGGCTCTGACTGTAAATGAAACAAGGAAAATTCTCAATTTAACTTCAAGGCAGCCATTTAAAAGCTACTGCCTATATTTAGGGCAGTTATCCAGTCCTTAGAGTACAGCAGCTGTCTGCAAGCCTGAGATACTGGGAATGAATCCTGTTCAACTTCAGAGGGCTTTGGACTTCTCCTCCATTTTTTCTTATTTCATACTCGCAGCCTTAGCTATAAAACCCAGTAACAGAGCACACACCATGTGGTATTTCCTGCTAACCCTCCCAGATGCAACTCTGAGAATTTATTTATGGATTTAAAATAATGTTAGTATGCAGTAGAGCAATCATCCAAAAGGCTCCTGCCACTGGACTGAATTTGGCAGTTGCAGCATTGGCAGTTGAACAGGGCTCCCCAGCAGTATCTTCAGGCACTAACTCAATGTTTGGCACAGTCTGTTCCTAAATAATGGTCTGCATAGCTAAACGCAGGTTGTGGGACAACCTGTTTATTGCCAGTGTGTAAAAATGAACATCCTGGTACATTTTGTAAACATACATCATTTTGCATATCATAACTCAATGTAAAAAGCATGAAGGAGTTCCTGCTCATTAAAAAAGAAAAAAGATCTTGTATGGGCAGTGTTTGCTAAACTGGAATTGCTTTGAGGACCAATCCTACTATTTTTCTATCTTTCTGCCTGTGCTAACCAATAGACCTCAGCAGGGCTATTGTGAGGCCAGAGTAAGATTTGCAGGAGAAGGCCCTTTTTTTATAATATCCTGTGTATTTTTCCATCTGAAAAAGGTTTTTGCCTGTGCTATCCAGCTGACCTCAGTGGGGCTGTTTAAGACCTGCAAATAGAAGGGCCATCATTTATAATGGGTACAGAATGATGCTATTGGAAGGGCAGGTACTTCTGATTGCCAAGGGTTCCTCTCTCGGTTCCTCTAGGCTCCTTTCTGTACTCCATGTCCAGCATAAGAACCTGTCCTTTGGCTGAGGAGGATTGAATGGCACAGGATTTCCTCACCGGAGTGTGTCAGGGAATCACGGGACACTCCAGCGCTCAGTTCTGCTGGGCCAGCTATGGGCAACACTTCGTACCTTCTTGCACTGGTACAAAATTGCTGGTACAAAAACTAGAAGGGGACACTGGCTTCAGTTCTGGTCAAGCTCTCTGCATCACAGGGAGAAACTGGCTTTTTAAGAAACATTATTAAATATGGACTACAGTTCAGGAGACGGAAGGTTTTCTAGAAGGTGCAGAATTCAACATGTCATTTTGAAAACCAATTTCGGTGAAACAGCCCATTATTGCAGTGGCATGCAGAGTGCGTGGTACTGAAGTTTCTCCTCACCCAGCAGGAGAGCTGGAGCCAGGACAGCCACTAAGGTCAAGCTCCTGGGCCCGGAGTGGTGTAAATTTGCACATCCATCAAGTTAAACCAGTTTTGCTGCGGACAGAAGTAGGACTGGGTTTGGCTCAGAGGAACTTGCTGTCACTTAGTCACGTCCCTTAGTTCTGTTGACCTGTGGATCAGCCCTTTTGTGTTCCGAACCAACAGGAGCTACAGTAGAAACTGTTTTAATCACTCTCAGAGCCTGGAGCGGGAGTTTATCCGATTCCCTCGGGAGCTCCAGCTTCCATCAGGAGCTGATACCTCGTGGGGTTTCTGAAGTACAGCCTTACCTTGGAGATGATCAGATGCTCTGCATAGGAGCAGGAGTAGCACAGTAACTTTGCCTGTTTACCAGGCTTTGACCAGACAAAATGTGAAAGCCACATGTTCTGCAGTGAGGATTTTTCTGAAGGATTTGGTTTTGCACTGAATATTAAAAGCTTCCCACAGCGTTATCTTCTGTGTCTCCCGAGGTTGTTATGTTTAGGTGTTAAATGAGTGTTAATGTATCAAATGTTCCTTGAACATTAAAGATGTCATTTTTCGTTTTAATTAACAAATTTGCACTTTTTTTGGGGGGGCGCTGCCGGCTCTGGGGACACACCCGCGGCCCCGAGTGAGGGCGCGCAGGGCCGGGGCCTGGGGCCCTCCCGGCC